GCGGTTCAAGAGGAGTGAAGGGGGTGGAAGTGTAGGAAGAGACAAGAACAGACGTAGGCTGAAACCTGAGGAGATTGCATTAAGAAATGCAAACTCTTGCATTAAGAAATGCAAACTCAATACATAAGAAGTAAAAAGTCACAGGGGATGCAATATCAGAGGAGGTACAGAGGAAGGCAGGAGTGATGGCAATTTGGATGAATTTTACAAGTCAATCAAGTAACCAGACGAGGGAAGGAAAAAAAAAAAAAAAAGCTATTTTGCCTGTGGCAGAACTAAGGCAGAAAGATGCTCAAGCATGACTAGAGAGATTAGAACCAAGAAGAGTAAAACCATCAGTAAATGGAGGTATCAAAACACACAGTGAGAACTGCTCTCCCATCACAAGCAAAAGTACAAATCATATACTGAAAACTGCTTTGGAAAAACATTTTAAGAGCAATTTTCTCTAGCAATTGAAAAGAAGGAAGAGAAGGAAGAGAATGTACCTGTTGGGAACTCTTGAATAAAAACGTTGTAGGGAACAACTTAATTAATTTTCTCTTCTCTGTTTAAATAAACTGCAAGCCAAGCAACCATTTTCTGACGCATTTACGCTATGGGCACAACCCAAACACATTGCAGTGGTCTACCCTTGAGCTTGTAAACTGGAAACCCGAAAGGAGGTGCGTGTTCCAGCAGCACACCAAGCTGTGTGGAGCCTCATCTTACGAGCAGCAGCAGCAATGTGTTTAGGCTATGCTGCACCAAGTTCCACAGACATGCTCTTTTACTGCCTCCATGAGGAGATCCACGCGCACTGTCACAGACCGTAAAATATTTTCTGGCAGACCACTTGCAGCCTGAACTTTAATATCCCCTAGGGGTGCTGCCAGTGAATGGATTTCACAAAAGAGCAAAATAAATAGTATCAGTTTGAACGGCAACTGACTTGCAAAGCGTTATTTAGTTTATTAGGAAAAAGAAAATAACATATATCGTTACTGTTAGCAATATAATGTATTTTATTCTTATTATATGGAAAAGAAAACCCTTCAGGAATAACTTTTTTATGTAACACACACACCAATGAAACACATCTGGTGTGGGGAAGAGAGCAACCACCAACCAAAACACAGTATAACAAACATGAACAACTTTTTTCGTAACAAAAAAATGGCATCCAGCCTTCCATATTCTTCAGGCGATATCTCTATAGCAAACAGTCCACCCACAAAAGGTCAGAATCTAGTCATACTATTGAGGAAAAAACATTAGTCAACCTACTGGGAAAGGCCTACACTACAATAGGTTAAAAAATTCCTATCTAGGCCAATCCCTTGTATCACAGAATCCTTGAGACTGGAAGAGACCTCTTGAGACCACCTAGTCCAACCTTTAGCTCAAGCAGAGCTACAGACCAGGTCACCATATCCACTGCGTAATCGTAAAGAATAAAATACACACATAAAGGTATTTCTTACAACAACTTACCTAACTTGAAGCATTAACAAATGGGACACTACTTGCCTTTTTTTACCCCGAAAGTATCAACAAAAGCAAAAAAAAAAAAGGACCAAATGCTACTTTTACCATGTGCTGTCCTGCAGGGAAAGTATCCCTGCAGTGCCTGCGGATATAATTGCCTCGGATTCTAACGCATCTTGAGAGGGACTGTCTATGATTACAATCCAAGCAGGCCTGTGGACAGCTTTTCTATCCTGAGCACGCCCACCAGTATCACTTGTTGCAAAAGAAATGGGCTACGGGTGTGTTTGTAAAGAGAGGTCACATAAAAGGCAATGCTTCTTAAGGTTTGAAGAAGGTTCATAGAAAATAAGACTCACTTGCCACTCCGGATGCAATTCCGTACAGTAGTCCTCCTCCATCTGTTTGCTGCTGAAAGACATGGGTCCCTGGAGGAGGGCTTCTTTCTTGTCTAATGAAATTATATAGTAAAGTTTTCACAAGTCTGCTGGTATACGGGAGACTGAAAAGAAAAAGAAAACAGCTTTAGTTGACTCACAACTTGCACAATTTGGCACAACAAAGCCCAGGTGGGGTGCAAAGGCTGGACTTTGGCACTAAACACAGACACTAACTCTCCCAGTCTTGAGCAGACTGGAAAGGGAAAGAACGCCAAGGTTTTGCCCATGCAAAGCTGCCCTGACTTCGGCAGCGCTCTGCAGCAGCGCCTTCAACAGCAGGATCATGGAAATGATTTTTTGTTTTCCTTTTGTCATACTACTCTTAAATCAATCATTTAATTTGTGGAATCACTATATTCTTTTACCTCAAGACACAACTGGAAAAATTTTTACTCAAGGGAAAGAAACATTCTATTTATTTAAGGCTCCATGCTTTGGTTATATAGAACAGGTAACAATAGTATTTCTCCACACACCCCCCCAATGTTTTTGTCTGTGAGTGCAGCTGGAGCCAATTTGCAGAGACCAATGAAACATCTGACCTCACATCAATGATTCTGACAAACGCATGTAAAATTTGTTGGATTTAAATAAAAGCTTACAGTATTTCCAAAACAGAGAAGGATTTCCACAGAAGCAAAGAGCTGCTGCCCGTTCCCATATGATTCAGAGGTGAATAGACAGGGGCTGTGTGACGATGAATTCCAGTCCCCTCTAACCAGTATGCTCCCAACTCTTCACATTGCCCTAGATTCCCAGCCAAAAAATTCCCACCCCTCTCTCCAGAGTAGCTGCTACTCCCAACTCAGATCTCTTAGACCACGTACTGCTTTTTACCCAAACATAGAATCATAGAATTGTTTGGTTGGAAAAGTCCTTTAAGATCACCAAGCCCAACCGATCCCCTACCCCTGCCATCCCACCCCCAAACCCTGGCCCTCAGCACCTCGGCTGCCCGGCTGTTACATCCCCCCAGGG